TATAAACATTCAAGCTAATAATTTATCGATACGCAAACATGTTAAAGTTACCAGGGTCACCAAACAACAGTACAACGCATCTCGATTGATTTTTTTTTAAATCTGTGCAAACGATTTGTTTGTTTGTTTTTTGAATTTCGCGCAAAGCTACACAAGGTCTATCTGCGCTAGCCGTCCCAATTTACAGTGAAAGACTAAAGGGAACGCAGCTAGTCATCACCACCCACCGCCAACTTTTGAGCTACTCTTTTATCAACGACCGTCACCGTATAACGCCCTCATGACTGAAAGGGCCAGCATATTTGGCGGGATGGGGATTCGAACTCTTATATTGCAACTCGAACGCCCCAACCACCTGGCCGTGCCAGGCCCCTCATAGATATGAATACAATATTTAAATATATAATTATTTGTTTATACATTACCAGCTGGAGTACCCGTGCGTTGGACGGGTGAAATAAAAAACTCATTTATAACAAAAGATAGGAAATTGTGCTTATATTTTTTTCTTAATATAAGAAACACTAAAAGTGCAATATAAATACACAGGGGTAACAATACTGAAAAGAAAGACATGATGCTTCAAAAAATTTAGTAATATGAAATCGGATGGGGTCTAACCCCCCCCATGACCTTCCTCATGTCACCCCATATCACTGTGTCAAGTTTGGTGCTGATTGATCAAGAAATGCGGAAACGTATAAATAACTAAAATGAAATGATAGATGACCGTGTATTATTTTTCCAGGACACACACTTCATATAGTAGATAATTAAATCATTGAATAATAACCTTCTGATCACACGAGTGAATTTAAAACGCCCCCTACATTCAATGCTAAAATCCAAGATGGGATTTCCGCGAAAGACACAGCTCAGATGACCCGTAGTGTAGCTTTGCACTAAAAAAAAAGGAGGTGGGGTCAAGACACCCCATGTTTTATTTATTTATTTATTTTTGATAATCTAATTGCAGTTTTATACCAACAAACCCTACATGACTTGAAAGTACTGTGCTTGTTAACTTTACAAATTATATAAGTATGCACAAGTGTAAAAATAAAAAAGCTAAAAATAATGAAATTATATCTTAATTGGAAACATTGCTATGCCGTTAAAATATGACAAAAAGATGCCCCCCAGTAGCACAGCGGTATGTCTGCGGACTTACAACGCTAGAATCCGGGTTTCGATACCCGTGGTGGGCAGAGCACAGATAGCCCATTATGTAGCTTTGTACTTAACAACAAACAAACCCTCACGAAAAATAAAATAGATAAGAAGCGAAATCAGGCTATAACTCTGCCAATATTTCGTGTGTCTATTTATATGTTTTATCGTAAGAAATAGTATCAGATTTTTACAAAGGATTCTGTGCATTATCATTACAAAGTATTTTATCTTGTATTTATGACAAAAATACTTTGGCTGATTTTTTGTCGTCCTTGATTTTGAACTAAACAGAGGGAAAGCTGTTAGTATCACCCTACCACACGTGCTAAGGGCTTGACTGTCCCTCTTATAACGCACCCACAGCTTAACATTGGGGGGGGGGGGGATATTTCGTGGTATCACTCGAATTCGAAGACGGCTAGCCAGCTCTGAAATCCAGAGCTCTACTGTAGGACTAATCTGTGCCTAGCATCATGTATAATTGTTAATACTAAAACATAGCTGCAATGTTAAGCTTTTTCTTTTCTTTATTTTCTTAACAGTCTCCCACCCCCCGGTGACTCATCTGTAAATCAAAGGACTTATAATGCTAAAATTGTGTTTCGATACCGGTGATGGATGAAGCATAAATAGCACATTGAGTAGCTTTACGTGTGAAAACAAAACAAACAAAAAGGTGTACACACGACAATAATTGATATTGTATCAAACGGCTTATATAAATTGTGTTCCGATCACTACTGTGTTGGTTGTATTCTAGCCGGAATAAAGAATTCCGAATTGAGCGAAGCGCGTCGTCGGCAATGAATATGACAAATATAGTTTAGTTGGAATACTGTTATTATACACTCTTCCAATTCTTCAAAATCCATAAAAGACCAGATGAAGAATCTAGTATTTAAAAGTGTAATAGATCTAATACTAAAGACAAGTATAACTGTAAACACACATTTCCGTAACTGAAAATCCAACTATTTTGAAAATTCTTCAATACGTGTTACTTCGCATAGTGCAAGAACTAAACTTATCCACCCAACCGTTCTATATCCTCGAACTGAAGTAGGCTCTGTAATTCATAGAATTTAAAGATAATGTTACAAAAGCGTACGTTAGACGCAAACGGTGTAGTGAAGTTTTTTCTTTACACAACAGATAGCAATGGCGCCTGTCTGTGGGATGTGATGTTGCTAAAACGTTCCAACTAGAGCATCTATTTAATACGGTCACAAGTGGGGGTAGTCTAAGCCATTTTTTTTATGGGAAGAGTCTAAGCCAAGTATTTTTACAAGAACTCTTGGCAACTTACCCAAGGTTAATACAGGTCTATTTGATATTTGGGTTCTGCGCGGGCGTAACTGGCATTACTCTACCTACTCCACGTGTGTCATCTGAAGATGCTATAAAATTACAGTAAATTTGTTATAATTCTCTTTCTAGCAAAAATTTTACAGTTGTTATTTTAGCCAGAATTAACTTTTAGTTCCTTGTCTTCAGCTTCACCGATGATCATCATATTGTAAAAAAATCCGGGCTCGAACAAACCTCATGAGGATCTTTAGACTCCATTGGAATGTCTAAATTAAGACTTTTATTTTTTTCGTTTACTTTTGAAGTAGGATGTTTATTTTATGTATTTGAAACCAGAAGAACAGATTAGAAAATGTATATAAAAAAAATTCAAGAATAAACAAGTTTTGGCAATTCCTTTTGCTGTTCTTGTCGCAGATTTTCTACTTTACATCCTGGTTATATGAGTATCACAAAACACAATAGTCATCA